ATAAATACAGTAATAGGTCTAAGAGCAAAGGCACCCCCCCTTAAATAGACCTCAAAGAGACAAAGTACTGGCTCTGTACTGAGGAATCAGGCAGAAGCTAAAGGTAAGCTACAGTTCATAAAGTTACTGAGTATGACACATCACATACATTACCTAATTAAATGAAGTTACATGCATGGATAAAGCTGCCTTGAGAACAAGACTAGAACTTGGTCTTTTAGCCTTATTATAGTCATCTGAAGCAGAAAAAAATACAAATTTGTAGTCTAATTATGAGGATTGCACATGACATCAGTTTTGAAAGCAAGGACTTGAAATGAACTGGTTAGTACTGCTACAGTAAATGAAGTATTAGTTTTTGACATAAAATGACCTGATTCTATCTACTCACTTTTTTTTCTACATCCTGTAGAATTCATAACTTGGAAAAAAGTTTAACAGGAACAGACTGGGGAACAACTGAAGACTATTCATGAGAAAAGGCAGAAACACTTAGACCCACTCAGACACATACAGGTACTACTGTACCAGTATTTAAACTGGCTTGTATTTCACAGAAGTTCCAGTAGTTATGAAGGAAGAGGAGGTACTAATTCTGTGGTCTCACATGTCTTGAGAGAACACAAAAAAGGGGTTGTAGTTGGTAAGGTTGCCAAGAGAGGCAGATGACTGATAGGTGCTCTGGAATAAAGAAGAAAAATAAGGAGCTGCAAGGAAGAAAAAGCTACAGATGTCCACTCATGCTTGAACCCAAATTCTGTTGTTTCCTCAGTAGGATTCCCAATTTTACCACAAGATGGATCACGATCATTAAGATAAAAGCATGCTTGAATTCCTTTCATAGTAACCTAAAGTCAGTATTACTTTTAGTCTCTCACTTTTTGTAATGCAAGTGTTTATTTTATCAAGTCTTTACTTAGCTATAAAGACTAAGATTGGCAAACCCAACACTGCATTTTGTGGGTCACACACTACATGCAACAGCATCCTCCTGAAGCACAGTCTTTTAAACTTATTCCCCCCAATACTGCATTATGCTTCAGAAATGCAGGTGCAAAAGTTGAGTCTTAAACCTAAAAGCCCACTTCAAATCTGTGCTTGTTCAATCTTACTGTCAAGAACTGCAACACCAGGCCTGGCTTCCTATGCTGCTCTAGGCAGACTCTGTCATCCTTTTGTAATTTCATAGTCATACAACAGTCCAGGCTTGAAGGAACCTTGAGAGACCATCCGCTCATATCCCTTTATGGGAAAGGTGAGCCCAGATGAGATTATCCAGCACCCTGCCCAATCACATCCTCAAAACCTCCACCAGCAGTGGGGACTACCACACCCCTGGGGAGGTAATGTGGTTTGTAATGAAGGCTACCTGCTAGCCATCTACATGAAAAGTTAAATTGTTGACGTTATGTTTTGTTACTCCCAGTAAGTATTTTACAAAGGCATGCCCCCTACCCCCCCCAAAAAAAGTCTAAATCAATGAACTCTTAACTTCCTCTTCCTGGAAGAAGGCACAAAATTCCTAACCTACAAGGGCTACAAGGATGGTGAGGGGACTGGAGCATCTCCACTACGAGGAGAGGTTGAGGGAACTGGGCTTGTTCAGCCTGAAGAAGAGAAGGCTGCGAGGGGACCTTATAAATGCCTACAAATATCTGAAGGGTGGGTGTCAGGAGGATGGGGCCAAGCTCTTTTCAGTGGTGCCCAGTGAAAGGACAAGGGGTAATGGGCACAAACTGAGGCACAGGAAGTTCCGTCTGAACATGAGGAGGAACTTCTTCCCTCTGAGGGTGACGGAGCACTGGAACAGGCTGCCCAGGGAGGTTGTGGAGTCTCCTTCTCTGGAGATATTCAAGACCCGCCTGGACAAGGTCCTGTGCAGCCTGCTGTAGGTGACCCTGCTTCGGTGGGGGGGTTGGACTAGATGACCCACAGAGGTCCCTTCCAACCCCTACTATTCTGTGATTCTGTGATTCTGTAACCTCTCCATGAAACACTAAAGTATTTATTCATGACAGAATTTATATTAGAAACAAAGCAATTTTGAAATTATAGGTTTATACTTAAGTTTTACTTATATTGAAAATAGGAAATAACATTCCTTGTAACAGCTCAATGCTTATAATGATACAATGAGAGGTACTATTGCAAAGTGATTAACAGTTGACTTTAAATGACCATGTATTAAACTTGCAGACATTATATTCTTGTAAATTAACCTCTTTTCAGGCATTTAATAGTAACATCAATGGTATGATTTAAACATGTACCTCTAGAAAGGAACATTTAGATTTTCCTTATGTATAAAGCTCAATTACCAAAAATATAAAAATCCTAAAGTAATTTGAAATACATGAGAGGAAAAAGTGCTATGGCAGAAGTTTAATATTTTTATCTGTGGAGTAAGTTATAACTTGCAAGAATTTGGTACATTCTTAGGCACTGCTTTTGTATTTTTATTTGCCTGAATTGTACAGCAGGACTTGAGATGCCCCAAAACTGTTCAAAATAAATTTAAGGCAACCAAGTGCAAAAGCTCAGTGTACATTAGATATATATAAACAGAACATTTCATAGTAGAAATTGTACAACTATTACAAGTCCATAGTATTGACAAAGGCCAAAACCATTCTGCCTAGAGACATCAATGCAAAAATAGCTACACTAATCAAGCCAAAAATTACAAATTCCTGGAAATAAAATATTTTCTCTAACACAAGGTAGATGCACTACATTACTGTGCTAGAATAAGCGCTCTGCTTTCCCCCTCCTACATAACATGCAGTCTCCCACAGGTTTATTCTCTTTCATTTAGTTATGTACCAGCCAACAACAGAGCTCCAAATGTTAAAGCAAAACGCATAACACAGCAAACAGATGGAATGTGAGTGTACAGATATTGGACCTTTTAAAAAAATACAGTACCTAGGATTCCCCAGTTTAAACAGTTTTCAGCATATTGCATAGCAGCGTACTCATCTGCTACCTAAAACTGTTGCTGTTGACCCACATGGAGTGCCTCTTCAAGTCTTCCTTCAGTTTTCTTTCATACTGTACAGTGGGTCCACAAGCTTATTGTGCACATGCATTAAACCTTGAGGGGAAAGCAACAATGCCAGCTTTACATTAGTTATACTTTTTCAACATGTCTTTCTACCCGCATTTTTATTTGGAGTTTAAATTAAGTATACATTTTAAATAGTTCACTGAAGAGAATAACAATGGCTATTTGAAGTAGTTTAAAATCAGAAGTAAAGACAACATATTTATTCCTGTATCACTTGAATACCACTGACATCTTCAGTATAAAGTGAGCCTAGATAAGACTGAATTGAATGAGATCCACCCATCTTCCCTTTGTATTAAAAACTGCGTAACAGCGATATAAAATTCCCTCATACTACAATTTGTCATAAAAATCAGATGTACACATATTGATACTTCTACACCTTGAATTGCAACATTCTAGCATTTTGGTATTACTGCCTCTGTAATTAATAGTGTACTTGTGGTCCTAGACTGGCAAAATGAAAGTAAGCACATCCAGATTGCTAACACAGATTCAGAACTGCAGTGGGTCAACTGTTTTCCAGCTGGGCTATTTTGGTCATATAGAAGTCATCCATAACTCTGATTAGG